CTCTTCCCGGGTGAGGCATTCGCTCGCCGGCCACTGGAAGGCCGCTTACAGCAGCTCACAGCAGCTCACGAAACCTCATGCCAGCTGCCAGCCAGCCCCACTGCAGCCTACGCCGTCGCCGGCAACTCATGGCAGCCCAGCTCCAGGTTGAGCTGTTGTTCACCATCTTAGCTGTAGAGGGAGCAGCGTCACTGGCCCTCATATGTGGGATCCGAACTGTTGCCCTGCTGCTCAGAGCTGGTGTCCCAAGTTCACTCCCAACCAACGCGCCACTCGGCCGGCCCTCTTCTCCTTCTTAAGGAAGTCTTTTTAACATTTCTTGTAATAGTGGTTTGGTGGTAATGAATTCCTTTAGGTTTCTTGTCTGGGAAGCTCTATCTGTCTTTGCATTCTAAGGGATAGGTTTGCTGGGTAGAGTATCCTTGGTTGTAGGTCCTTTCTTTTCATCACTTTCAATATTTTGTGCCAATCCCTCTGGCCTGCAAAGTTTCTGTTGAGAAATTAGCTGATAGTCTTATGGAAGCTCCCTTGTAGGTAAATAACTGCTATTCTCTTGCTGCTTTTAAGATTCTTTCTTGTCTTTAACCTTTAGAATTTTAATTCTGATGTGTCTTGGTGTGGACCTCTTTGGATTCATTTTGTTTGGGATTCTGCACTTCCTGGGAATGTGTGTCTGTTTCAAAAGCCAGGTTAGGGAAGTTTTACATCATTATTTCTCAAATAGGTTTTCAATTCCTTACTCTCTCTTTTCTCCTTCTGGTACCCCTATGATGCGAATGTTGATACACTTGATATTGACCCAGAGACCCCTTAAATTGTCATTTTTTAAATTTTTTTTTCTGTTCTGATTGGGTGTTTTCTGCTACCTTGTCTTCTAAATTGCTGATTCAGTCCTCTGCTTCATCTAATCTACTGTTGATTCCCTCTAATGTAGTCTTCATTTCAGTTATTGTAGTCTTTATTTCTGACTGGTGCTTTTTTATGTTTCCTGTCTCTTTGTTGAAGTTTTCCCTGAGATCAAGCATCTTTATAACCAGTGTTTTGAACTCTGCATCTGGAAGATTGTTTGTCTCCATTTTGTTTAGTTCTTTCTCTGGAACTTTTATTTGGAACATGTTTCTTTGTGTCCCCGTTTTGGCTGCCTTCCTGTGTTTGTTTCCATATGTTAGGTAGGGCTGCTATGTCTCCCAGTGTTAGCAGAGTGGCTTTATGTACTAGGGGTTCTGTGGGACCCAGTGGCACAGCCTCCCTGGTCACCACAGCCTGGTGCTCCAGGTGT